AGTCCAGAGCTGTGTTTCATCATCTCAGGACAAATTAAAAGAAGACAAATTATGTGATAAAAGTGTAATAAGGGGTACAGAATGGCTGTGATTTAAGGAAGTAGGTGGTAAACTACATCAAAATTTAATTTTGTATGTTAAAAATCAATGTTAATAATTTTCTGTCTAAAAGACTTATGTATATAATCTTTGGCCTCTATTCTTTTTAATATCTACATATGCACTGATCACACTCTATATGAAATGGAAAAGTGGGAGAAAATAATCCAACCAGATATTTCTTACCACACTACAAAGTCTCTTAGGAGTTAAAATTTTTTTTTTTAAAGCACAATGTTTGAAATGTATTAACCATCAATCAAGGCAGTGGCAACACCACTGTCTGAAATTCTGATAAAAAAGCAGAACAAAGGAAAATTTTCTCTATACAGCCTGGCATTTCAAGGCCGGGAGCTAAAGATTACATTCTCAGGAAAGAAATAACTTGTCAAAACTACCTTTATACCATACAACATACCTTTATTCATTATCTCTTTCTACAAGAGCTAAACATTTAACTATACATCAAAAAATATAGTGAAGTAAAATTATTAAAAACAGAACAAAATAAAACCAAAAGCAAAACAAAATTCAAACCATTCTATGGTCTTATTCTGGATTAGATGAAGCCTACCCTTCATGGTATCTGTTAATATACTACTTTTTGTTTTGAATGTTCTGTCTTAGCATTAATTTGGTTTATTAGTGAAAGCAAAAATGTATTTATTTAAGGAATAGATTAAATCTGGATTGGTTTGTTTTATGGCTTCTTGTCCTCCCTGAAAACGTTCCAAGTCATCACTGCAAAATGCAAATACTAGACATGGCAGCAATGTCCTTTCTCACCCTTTATTTACTGTTTTTATTGTTACTCTAATTTTTATTTTGGAAGGTTTATTAAAAACTAAGTGTTGGTTTGTTTATATTAAAATGTATTAATATTAGTTGAAAAAATTAATATATGAAATGTTTCCCACTATAAAATACTAAAGATATTTGAGTATTATCAGTGACCAAGTAGTTGATTCAATGAACCTTACTGATATTGATGAATTATTTAAAATATTTATAATCTGTAGCATGCAACTCCTACTGCACATATGGATATGAGGTAAATGATGAAAAATGCTGTAGCTATGATGTTGGAAATGGAACATAACACATGCTAGAATAATAATTATCTAGTGTGATGATGATATAACTCAGAGCTGACCTCAGAGCTTATATTTTAGTTTTTGGTTTTATAACTTTAAAAAGTGGAGTTTCACCAAGAAAACTTTTTACTTAAAATTTTATATTTTTATACATTATAAATAATATAAGTTAACAAAATTAATAAAATAATTATTATTGGTTCTCAGGAGATGTTGTAAAAGTACTAAGAATGAAGGATAACAAACACAAGAGAATCATGTAAATTTAGAAACAGGATTATACTAACTTACTAGTTATTCTAAGGTTTATTAGTTCCGCAACAAAAGTCAATTTAAGAATTCTGACTGTTTAAAAGCATGAAAAAAAGTGATTGAAACTTAATATGTATCTTTTACATTAAATAATGCAAAAGCTATTAAATATATAGCAACCTTTTAAAATGTAACTTTACTTTGGCAAGCAGAATACATGTATTTCTTTATTTTGGCAAGTAAAAGACATGAAGTAGGTAAGAGTGACTGACTTGGTCTAGCCAACAACTTCACAGTTATTCCAAGTATTGTACTCCATGGAATTGGGAATCTCGGCTCAGTAAATCTATGTTAAAATTATTTGGGATGCTAAAATCTATAGCATCTCAACAGCATCTCAATCTTTAATACAGATTTCATATAAAAATGGCATTAGTAATCACAAAATAAAACCATAGTCACAGGCTTCCTCTTTTTAGATTCTTGAATGTTTTATGTCCCTAAGGACAACACAATTTGTACAGCTTTTTCCAGAGCTCCAACTGTTTACATGCTGTTGATCCCCAAATCCCTATCTCTAGACCAGACGGTTACGGTGAGTGTCAGTTCCCTATCTCCAACTGCCACGGGGACATCTCGCTCTGGGGTCTCCACAGGAACCTTAAACTTGCTATGTGTAAAACTGATCTCATCATCTCCCTTAAACTGGTCTGTTCTTTACCCCTTTCTTATGTTAATGGCTGCATTATTTAACTAGACACCCAAGGAATCCAGCCTCTACTCTACCTTATTTCTCCTTCCATATTTAATCAGTTACTAAGTGTGCCAATCCTATTTCCTAAATATCTACTCATTAAGCTTCTTTCATTCACCTCCACGGTCAGGCCCCAATTAGTTTTCGTTTGGATTATTTCAACAGCTTCATAACTAGTTTCTTTTTCTTGGTTTCCCCTCATTTCCATCCGTCCTCCACAATGCCCTCATACTGACTGAAAAGGCAAACTCCTCTACACAGCCTCATTCAATTGCTCATTTTCAGGAATCAGGAGGTCCTTTGTCACTCGTCATCTGCTTCCTTTCAAACCTAATCCTTAAATGGCTCTTGTACCAAAATATTTTCTTTCTTTTGCACATGCTGATTCTTCTGCCTGGAAAGCCATTTGTTAATTAACATTTATTGACAAAATATTTATTGTCAGGTATGTCTTAGACATTGTGTAGAATGTTGAAGATATAAAGAGATGGAAGATATGATCCTTAGCTTCAATCAAGATCTCTCAGTGAACTTGCCACCATGTTTCTTTTGTTTCAGTTTTGGATATAGGAAGTATAAGATATCTATGGAGGCTCCAGATAAACTCCTAACTCTTCCTTTCCAACTGAACACAAGAGGCACCTCGTCTCAGGATCTTCCTCAGCATTTCCATCTTTCTCTTGAGTGCAGCTGGGAGCACAATGTGTACGCCCTGGCACCATGAACATATTTTTTTTTTTTTTGAGACAGAATCTCACTCTTTTTGCCCGGGCTAGAGTGCCGTGGTGTCAGCCTAGCTTACAGCAACCTCAAACTCCTGGGCTCAAGTGATCCTTCTGCCTCAGCCTCCTGAGTAGCTGGGACTACAGGCATGCGCCACCATGCCCGGCTAATTTTTTCTATATATTTTTAGTTGGTCAATTAATTTCTTTCTAATTTTAGTAGAGGTGGGGTCTCGCTCTTGCTCAGGCTGGAATATTTTTTTTTTTTTTTTTTTGAGACAGAGTCTCACCGTGTTGCCCAGGCTAGAGTGCCGTGGTGTCATCTTCACTCACAGCAACCTCAAACTCCTGGGCTCAAGCGATCCTCCTGCCTCAGCCTCCCGAGTAGCTGGGACTACAGGCATGCGCCACCATGCCCGGCTAATTTTTTCTATTTATTTTTAGTTGTCCAATTAATTTCTTTTTCTATTTTTAGTAGAGATGGGGTCTCGCTCTTGCTCAGGCTGGTTTCAAACTCCTGAGTTCAAACAATCTGCCCGTCTTGGCCTCCCAGAGAGCTAGGATTACAGGCGTGAGCCACCGCGCCCGGCCAGGCTGGAATATTTTTAAAACACTTTCATACATCACTGTAACTCATTCATGGCTTGTTTGAGTTTTTCCCACCAGGCTGTGAGCTTCTTGAGATCGAGGGCCTTATTGTGTTCCCAGAGTTTAGAAATATGCCTGATCCACAGGATATTTCATTCAGTAAATGTTCAAATAAGACATATGCCCACAACATATGACATGACAACAGTATGCACATTTTAATAGTTATGCTGATTCTTCAAAGCAACAGCAATTTTTAAAGCCAAGAAATCTATATTGAAAGTCTCTGTCTTTATACACACTTGCTTGCTACAAATAGTTATGCATATACTTTTTCTTCATGTAAGACAAGATTGTCTATATATACAGATTCTAAAAACCATTTTTCTAGCTTTAAAGAAATATAATTACTAAGAATTTATAATATAAAAGAAGGCATTAAAAATAACGTAAAGTAATATGTATTTGATATATTTCCTTTCATGACTTTTATATGCAATTTTATTTTTAAATCAAAAGTTATATATGTTATTTTGCTTTATTCACCTAACATATTATGAATCCTTTAATGTGTCATTTATTGCTCTTTGAAGACAATTCTAAGCTGATGTATTATACTCATCTGGCTATTCTACAACTTATTTTATACATCTCTATCCTATAGGATAGATACTTAGAATGGAAACTATTGGCTCAGAAGCATAAACTTTTAAAGGCTCTGAATATATATAAAATAGCTTTCTAGAAAGTCTGCACACATTCACATTTATTTCTGTATTAAATTCCAGAAGACACTGCTTATCACAGTTACTCCTTAAAATTCACCTTCACATAGAAAGGGGATTTATTTGTGTTTTTTCTAGCAGTTTATAGAAGAATCATCGATATGCATAGATAGAGAACTGTATAGCAACATGGTCACAAACCTCACCTTATTTACTTCTTACAATAACCTCATGAAGTAGATACTATTACCTCTATTAAAGCTGGGGAAACCAAGGCTTGGGTAAGATAATATTCAAACAGCCTATTTATTAAAGTCTTCAGTCAGGAAATCCCATTCAAACCCTCAAGAACTTGGTTGAGAGAAAATAGCAACTAAAGAAGTAGCTATTAATTTTTTTTTCTCCTTTCTTTCTAGTTAATGTACAGTTTGACAGCTGGCTCTTAATAAAAAGTGCTATTATCTCGGGTTTCATCTGTATCAGTTTTAAATTGCCAAACTGCAAACTAAACTAATTCAAATGGACTGACAATCCGCAGAGTTGTTAAGGAGTCTATTCCCATTGCAGACGGAATCTATTCCTGAGCTATAGTTTTCTTCTTTATTCCAAAGACTATTAGTATTACTGTATGACATGATCATTCATGTTTAAGGCTACTCTTTTAACAGAGTGTTAAGGAAGGTGGTGGAGACAAAAGTAGCCTTTGAGATGGTCACTCAGAATGGCAAACTGATTTTTACTCTGGCTAAAAATGACAAATTCTTACCTTAACTATTAATCCTTTTGAGTCAACCAACCATATCTTTTTGATGGCTTCCTCTTTTGGTAAACCTTCTTTTTCCATGGCCATAACAATCAGGTGTGCAATCCCTAAGGCAGCCTGAGAAAGAGGTTATGAAAACAAAAATTTTAAAAGTTGTTCCACATGGTATCTTATTATCAAGGGTTACGTTTTACTTCCTTTTCTCTTTGTTAGTAAGAAAGTAAAAATGACTCTGTCTATTTTGTACTAATATAGCTAAAGAGCTATATTCATTCATTTATACAGGGAGCAAAGTATTTTTGTCACATTTGGGTTAAGCCAAATGACAATTATTTACCCTTTTTACTATAACAGAAACACTATTATGTGGCCTGCTATTTAGTGACAGATAAACCAGTGATATTCTTGATTGTCAGTATCTTTAATCTTATTAATGCAGTCAAGATTTGCTCCAACAATATTGAATTTAAAATAATGAACTGGACAACCTTGCACATTGGACGTATTGTTTATTGTTAGGTTCAATCTCTTCTAATTGAATTTGAAGAATGAAGCCTGGTCATTTGGATGAGAACTTGACCAATTAGGCAACCAAACGAAACTGTCAAAATATCTGTGTTCCCAAGAATTTATTCACTCTCTTAATTTGGACAAAGAAAGTGTTGTGAAATTTTTTACAAGATTAAAGGAATCAACTTCCTTGGTATTTGGGGAATTTTGTAATAATCTGTGAAAACCAGTATCTTTTCAGGGACAAGTGCTGGTTTTAAATCATCCAACCATGAATACTTCTGCCCTGCTGGGTATCCAGAACAGACCTGTGCCATTCATCAAAACTCTTTGAAAATTCAAAGAGGTTTACTGAAAGTAAAGACAGCATGTAATAATCCACAAAATAAAGAATTCAAATGTTAATTAGCTGTCATTTAGCCTTGATTTTTATTCCAACATAAAAGTGAATGAGATTTACATTCTGAATAATTTCACATATTTGTATCTTAGTATTCAAATTCTAGCTTCATGTATTTTATTTTAAGAGTAAGCAAAATGAAAACCAACACTACATACTCAAATTTCTATCAATATCACTGTTTTGTTCACAGTCTTGTTAAATTTGAAAATTTAAAGTTTCTTAAAATATATACACATAGCCACAATGTATTTCTCTATTTATTACATGCTATAATTCTAAAGAGATTTTGACAGCTTTCCCACAAGAAGCTCAAAGTCAACTAACATTTTAATTTTTATTTGGAATTATTATTTACTGGAGTCTAGTTTTCTTCTTTCAAATGATTAAATTATAGCAAATAAAAACTGAAACCGTAATTCAGTCTTGCTGCAATTTCCTTCCAATAATTTAAAATGTTTTGGGTTTTTTGCATATGAACAGTTATAATGCACTCTGAGTCCCTAATTCAAAATATTTCTTTCTTAAAAGCATGTGTATACGTGAACACTGAATTGTGAGTCAAATTAAGAAAATTTATATGTGACAAGTCAGCATCAGATATACTCACTTAAATACTCAAAGGCTTTCATATGTAAGCACACACTGGGAACTTTTTTTCCTGCACGGCACAGGAAATTATGCATATGAAAATCTATGGCACCATTTGATACTCTTATAAATTTAAAACAGAAAAATATGTCTCTACCTCTCTACTGAAGTCTCCTATGAAAAATTATTAATAATATGCCTCAATAATTTGGGAATCTTTAATAAAAGCCTATACTTGTAACATACTAAAATATGAAAGAATACTTTAAACTTTCCACTAATGAGTAATTAAAACTAATTATATGTTCATTAGTTAAAATAACATAAGTATTACAAAAGGCAGGTACCTCTCCAGCTCCTTGGAATAGTATTATCTGATCAGACAGTTTGTTCTTGGTTATTCGAAGAGCTGCAAGGAGACCTGCAACTGCAACAGATGCTGTTCCTGAAACAAGTAATAAATATCCTTTAGTAATCCTCAAACAGGCCCTGCCAAGTCCTAAGTCTTTACTCACGTCTTGAAATCATCACAAAATAGGTTAACTAGGATTGACAGGAAACCTGTTGGTTGTCTGATCCCATGCTTGCATATGAGATAAAACTCTCAGGCTACTGACATCAATATTTTAAGAGAGCAGCTTACTGCTATTCTTGAAATGTTCCAAAGAGAAGATACTGTGACTGATTTTGGTGACACAATGAGTAAGAGTATGGGATTTAGATTCTTATGTGGATTCCGTTCTATCCACTTACTAGCTGAAAGAATTTAGAGAAATTATTTTGTACATCAAATAGTTTCCTCATTTGTAAAATAGTTTTACTATATGAGATGACAGAGTAGTAAGTGATATTAGATTCTTCTACCTAATTACGCTTGTGGTCTTGAAATCTATTATTGATCCCCTTCACACAAAGTAGTCACATAGTGAATGATTGCTGGTAATGGCGTTGACAGTAATGATATTTTTGATGTATCTGGAATTTAATGTTTTAATTTTCAAATTTGAAAAATTAGCTGTTGATCGCAATTAAAATCTGATTTATTGCATTCTTTAATTGGTTTTCTACCTACAATGATCATTGCTGGATCCCAAAAGTGCTAGACAAAATTAATATAAAATTTATTTAGGATAAAAATTGTGTTTTCCTCATCATGTCTCATAGGCACCAAAACTTCACAAGTTCTAATTACATTACTTCACCATATAAGCTTGCACAGATCCCAGAGCTGTTCTCTTGCTTTGAACATAATTACACAGCTTAACTTCTTTATGGCTTATGCCTGAAATAAAACTGCAGCTTCTTGTAGTGCTTTCCAGCTGTATCTACATTTTACTTTTCTAAAGTAACATTCTCCCTGTGATGTTTCCTAGATCACTAAGCTGGGTAGTAAAGCCCAGTTAAACTTTAAATACCCTTACTTTGTTAAAACATAAATTAGAGTAAGTTTGATGAATGACACAATGAGGAAGTATTATGTATGCCAAGTACCAAAGATATTCAACATTTTACTATCAGTATATTTGTTCTTTTCAGTCTTTTGGTTTGTTTCTTGTATAATTAGGTAGTCATAAATAAGACCACAATAAATAATAATTGTTTAAAGCCTGTATGTCTCTTTTGTGTTTTTTTATTCAGGATCACAATGTGAACTGTAAAAATAAAATGTTTGCAACTTTGAGTCACCATTGCAACAATTATAAGCTGTGGTAAAGTCATATATTATGCAAAAGCCTCTCTTCTATACATTATTTAAAATGAATGTCTGTGCAAAAGTATGGCAGAGAATAAAGGTAATAAAGAAAGGAAATGAAAATAGCTATTGGCTCTGGCAATTACATCACCAGTGATCTTTCAGAGAACTATTTTAGTGACACGTATACATGTTAGGGCTGAAGATGGAGGACAATGTGCTGAGGCAGAAATGAAAGGTGAAAAACAGGGAGAGCAGGTGTGGAATATTTCTTGGAAAAGCTTACATAAGAAAAGGAAGAATGGGGTGAAGACGGAGATGGGAGTGGGAGGGAAACAGGGTTGAGGCAAATATTTTATTTTTATATTTTTAAGGAAAGAATGACATAGAATGTTGGAGGGGGGAAAAAGAATTGAAGCAACAATTTTAAGAATTAAAGCAATTAAACATGGTCATAGACTAAGGGGAAGAAGGCAATAGAGAGAAAGAGATTGAAGTTACCAGGAGAAGAAGCTGTCTTCCAAATCTAATGAGCTTTCCAAAGGTGGTAGGGTGTCATTATTAGTCAAGAAAAGTAACATTCGAAAAATTCCACTAGATTAAACTCTTTTGTAATAAAAATACTTAATGAAATATAAAAATATTTAACAAAATGCAATAGAACATTGCATTCTAATTCATGGGCTGCTTTTTCTGATAACTATTTAGCAAATTCTAATAGAACAAAATAATCTAAAATAGTTTCTTGCATTTTAATGTAAAGAAATCTGGAATGCACTGGAATGCAATTATGAAATCTATACATTAAAAAGGTATTTTGGAATATTAATTGTAAGCATTAAACCAAATGAGTATTAACTCAGAAAAATCTATGAATAAGAGGAAGGATACCCAGAATGACATTTTCTTTCTTTCTCTGTACAACTTGTCTGCTACCATCAGTTATATCTAATATTTTGTCAAATAAGTGGTGCCAAAAGGAAGAATACCACTGATATGAGATGATAGCAAATACCAAATTACACCATAAACTAAAAATGATACCAACTTGAAAAGAATACTAATAGGAGCAAGAGGCTTTTGATACTAAGTAATGTTGCTAATGAAAGTTATACCTTAGGTATTTTTGATGTTATGGCTCAACAACTAAGTACGTCATGTCTGATCTTTTTATACTTAAAAATTTTAACTTATACAAATTATCTCATTCCATAGTTACTATTTTAACATAATTTTTATCTCTTAAAAATATTATAACTATCTTATCATGTCAATAACATATTTTAAAATATTATTTTGTATAGTTGTAATATTCCATACTATAGATATATGACAATTCATTTAACTAAACCTCTATTTTTGGCTATTTAGAGGGCTTCTAATTTTTTTGCTATTAAAAACTGCATTGCAATGAATATCCTTGTACATTTACTTTACATGCATTTATTTCCTCAGGATAAATTTCTAAAAATAGAATTATTGTATTGGCTTCAAGATCTGCATGTTTCAAAGGCTTTTTGACACAAATTGGCTCCCCAAGAGTTGTGCCAATTTATACTTCCACAACCATTTTATGAGAATGATCATTTTCTAAAAGAGTCATTAACAGTGGGATTATAACAAAAATCTTTGCCAGCTTGATAGAGAAAATCAGTTTCTCATTTGCTGTTTAAATAACTTTTTAAAACTTAATGGTAAGGTTAGACTTTAAAAACATATTTACTGGCCATGGTAGTCATTCTTTTGTAAAAGTCTGTTCTACTGTGTCTGATTTTAATCTTTTCAACTATCAAAGCATTCAGTATAAGATTATACTACATTTACAAAAATGTAACCTAATATATTAATTGCATTTTTTAAAAATCCTAACAAGTCAAACTAGTTTACTATGGCTACAATTTCTATGCGCAACATTTATAGTATCATATTACAGAATAGCCATTCAAGAGAAGAAAAATCTCTTTTTGTAGCTTATTTTAAAAGACTAGAGGTTGATACCTATTCTTTCAATTTAAAATTGCTGAATTCCAGTGGTCTTCAGATTATATAATTAAATGTCTAATTTCTTATTAGATTTAATTTGTACATTTTTTTCAGTTAAAAATAATTTACAATGAGAATGCATTTATGTCTAAAATAAATTTGAACCAAAATTTGTATCACTTAAGATTATGTTAGATCACTAATACAGTAGAATTTTAAGCATATTTTTCTTTAATCAAATACTTTTCATAAAATAATATCTTTAACTAACACATCTGTTAAAAAAAAAAAGAAAAAATGTCCACCCTAAGGTCCAGTGTAAACACATTTATTTACATGGTAAGGTTGTAATGGTTACATAATTATTTCCAATGGCACTAGAATGTAATTTCTGTGCCCACAGTGGGGAAAGTATTACATCTGTGGGAATGATGGTAAAAACATAAAGTTAAAAGGTAAAAAAGAAACATATGGAGAAAATATGTCATAAGGACACAATATGGAGAAGTGTACAAAATGGTTTGGTCATTTCTAGTCAGAGCCCCAATAACTTGTCAAAGGTTTTCTCTAGTCAGAGATTAGATACACTTTCCTCAAACTTCTCTTTTTATTTCCTAAGGCAGCAATACTCTAAAATTCCTATGTGGAAATAAGCAGACTATATGCATGCAGGTTATATTTCAGGCCAGATTAGTTGGGGTGAAAAAAACCTGGTTATTTAATAGCTCCATAGCAGTGACCTGCTGGGGGAATATTCTGCTGTGGATCCGCAGGGCTCTTCTGCATGCACTGCTTTTGACCTTGGCTTGGCTCTTGCCTCAGATTTCCTGTGCTGCAGACTTTAATTCTGATGTACCTCAGGCCCTGACCTCTAAATTCCTGGCCTTGGTTGATAGAAATTCCGACCCTAATTCCTCATTGCTTATTTTGTTTAATAATTTAGATTTAGCATTCTTTTTCTTAAACTGAACTCTGATTCTTATTGATTCCGCATAATGATTCAAAATTATAGAATATTGGTCTTTAACCCATATATGAACATCTCCATGAGACCCACAAAATCAAAAGATATAGAATATTAAAAAGGATGGTATAGGTTTGTTCAGTAGCTTACTGGTGGCTCTTTGAGACTACTGTAAAATGAAATGCTAAGTGACTTAAAGACGCTGGTCTGCAATGCCTGTGTTTGTAGCATAGGAGGCACTACCATCACACATGGTATCTTTAAGTTAGACTTCCTTCACATTAAAATCAGTCTGTCTTTCTACAGCTCACATTTACAATTCTTAACTCCTGGAAATTTCCAGGTTATTCCCTTTCTGAAACCCTCCGAATATTTACTTCTGATGAATAAATACTCAAAAAGAAATTTAACACAAAAAAAATACTAAAACAAAGTTTAAACAACTTAAGCATCTTTGTCATGAAAATGAGAACTAAAGAACAATGTAATTAACATCACAAAGAATTGGGGAAAAGAAAGATTTGACCGATTATTTTTGTGTACCTCAAAAGGTACAAAGAGACTCATGATTTTTAAACACATTAAATTTCAATAGTTGTCATCCTAAAGAACATAAGCATAGTGAATTTAAAAAATATTTATAAAGTACATTTCAGTTGATAGGGTATTTTCACAAATAATTATTTTGTCCTTAACATAGAGTCCATGAGAGAAACACCACCATCCCCATTTTACATTCAAACTTTTCTCTGATCACCTCATTTCCAATGACATTCATCTTTATTCCACTTTGGCTACCTTCCTTTTCATCATGGGGTTTGCCATCACTCAGGCCTAATCCTTCTTGGAAGTACTACATTAGAATACCTCACCCAAGGTCTATCTTTACAGGTCTTTTGTGTCTAGGCCCTTCTGCCTACCGAACAGTCCTTGTATCTGTACTTCCTTCCCTATCCAGCTTCACGTCACAGTCATCGCTTCAACCTTAGCTCTTATCCCACTGCCCTATCTTTGTATAATTATAGTAAATTATCTAGCATAGGTAAATCCAACTGCCCATCTTGGTCCTGCCTATTCCTAAACCACTGTACTCAAGCTGCTCAGTTTGTGTCATGATACATTGAATTCTTTTGTGTTTCAGTTTTCTTTGTAGTTCTCTATAGAGGTTCTTTCAGATCTTTTTTATTTTCCTCAAACTTCTAATCCTAGAGTTTCAAAGAAAAATTAAAAGTTATTAGATATATTTTTTACTCTGCTCAAACTTCTGATATTTGGGGTGTTTTTTTTTTTTAGAGACAGGGTCTCTTACTTCTCACCCAGGCTGGAGTGCAGTGGCACAATCATAGGTCAACTGTAACCTTGAACTCCTGGACTCAAGCAACCTTCCTACCTCTCAGCCTCCCGAGTATCTCAAACTACAGGCATGCGCCACCACACCCAGCTAATATATTCATTCATTTATTTCTTTTTTTTTAACGGACACAGGGTCTCACTATGTTTGTTGCCCAGGCTGTTCTCAAGCTCCTGACCCCAAGTGATCCTCTGACCTTGACCTCCCAAAGTGCTAGGATTACAGACATGAGCCCCTACATCTGGCCTGATCTATTGTTTCAAAGAAAGAAATAGAAGCTTTTATATAACTTCCTGCCATAAGTGACAAAATGAAAACTCAGACAGGTTAAGTAAATTGATCAAAGTCCACAGCTAGTAAGAAGCAAAGCAAATCAGTCTGACTCATGAGTCCATGCTCTTAACCTCTCCATGTAAGAATGTCTTTTATTTCCTCTTTTTCAGTTACTGGCCTGCCATTCTTCCAGTTCTTCATGGCAGAAACCTGAGCTCCATCCTTGGCTCTTTCCTCACCATCAATAACCAATCATCTGTCTACTTCTCTCTGTCTTCACTGGCACTTTCCTAGAACACGGCACCATCATCATGTACCTGGATTTCAGCAACAGCCTTCAAATTTGCTCCCATTCAATCTTGGTCTCTACTCTGAAGGCAATGAGAGTAATCTTTCCAAAATGCAAACCTACTGTAGCCAACTTAACTCCTAAGTTCAACTCTCACCACCTTCTTCAAAATTAATCCTTTAGGCCAAAGGTTGGCAAACTCTTTTTGTAAAGGGCCATAAAGTAAATATGTTAGGGATTGTGCACTGTATAGTGTCTGTTCCAGACTTAATTCTGTTGTAGCATGAAACCAGCCATAAACGAGACATGGGCATGGCTGTGTTGCAATGAAACTTTACAAAAACAGGCAGTGGGCTCGATTTGGCCAAGAGGCCAACTCCTGCTTTAAATATACTATATTCATTCATTCCACTAAGATTAAGTACCTTATATGGGTTATGTACCATGTTAATGACAAGTTAATGATATAGTGATGGGCAAAACAGCCATATTCCTTGCCCTCCCAGAGCTTAAGATTTAGTGGAGAGGGAGATATTAATTTTAAAAACTTGCATAAATTTATAAAACTGCTATTGTGATAAGCACCACAAGAGAAAAGTGAACAGTCCTATGAGATATGAGGTGATTTAACTGAAACATGGGACTCAGAATGTTTTCCTGAGGAATGTCATGATGGAGATGAGATTTGAAGAAGGGACGGAATAGTATTCAAGGAAGAAAGATCAACATTTAGATAGACGCTACAACAGGAAGAAGCCTGTCTCATTTCAGGACCTGAGAAAGAAGGTATGGCTAAAATGGCAAAAGTAACAGGGCTGGAGAAAGAGGCAGGGGTCAGACCATGCATTTTGGGCCATATTCAGGAATTTCATCTTTATCCTAAGTGTAATGAAAAACCATTAAAATATTTTAAGGAAAAGATAAGACCAGATTGCTATAGCAAAAAGAAAACTCTGTCTTGTTCACCCTTAAATCCTCAGCACTCAGATCTTAGATGATGGAAAGTTACCCTAGGGTAATGGAGAGAAATCTACAGAAAACACAGATTTTTATGATAGGAAATCAGGAGGATTTAGTGATAGACAGCATTTGGTAGGAAAGCTGAAGGAGAGGGAGCTATCAGGAATTTGCTGAAAAGGAGAACACTGGAAGGTGGTCAGGTTTGGTGGAAAAGTAAGAGTTTGATTTTGGGTAGGCTGAGTAAGAAATAACTTTGAGATATCCAAGAGGAGATTTTTATCAGATTTCCTGGAGCTCATTCTCTAGCACATAGATAATATGGGACATTCTAGAGTCACAGAGTACTTTTCTCGAATATATGAAATTAAATGACAAATAATGTGTGAAATCATCAAGCATAATTCCTGGCATTTAATAGGTAATTAGTATATATTTATTGATCTTGAATCATTGTAAAACTATGAACTAATTTCAGACATGTTGTTCTTGACCTGTACGCAGTGAAATTTTTTATTACCTTGAATATCATCATTGAATGTGCAATACTTGTTCCGATACTTGTGCAGGAGACGAAATGCATTCATATTGGCAAAATCTTCAAACTGAATAAGGCAATTCATGCCATACCTATGGGACAAAAACTTTCACATTAGAAAGGTTAATGAAATAACATTTAAGAATAAACTTTTAAAATTAGCACAAAGAAAAAGTTAAACATTATTTTCTTTTAAAGGTCCTATCTTGCTGTTTAGTATAAATATGTAATACAGTATCTATTCAGTAAATACTTACTGCATTCTTACTACAGAAAAGGCATTGGGTTGCCCCTGTGAAATAATATAAAAATGACCAAAACGTGGTCTTATCCTCAAGGAATTTCAAACTTAGTGGAAACAAAAATCTTTTGAAATAAGTGAAAAGTACATGAAAAGTAACATAAAAGTAGTATGTACAAACAAAGAATTATGGGTGTTCGGAGGACACATATCACTTCTAGCTAGGGTCACAGACCAAGCAACAAATGAATTGAATTTTAATAGATAGTTATGATTTCAAAAATAGAGATGTGCGGTTTTACACGCTGAGGGAAAGCAAAAGCAAAATAACAAAGGAAAGACAGGAAAGAAAAAAATTGTTTAAAAAACGACAAAAAGCCCCATTTGGCTATAGTGTGGTGGTATACGTAAGAGCATAGTGAAAGATACAAGTTCACGTCTTCATTCTGGTCCTTCTAGTCCCCCTAATTCACTTGTTCTTGCTTCACCTGTGCATGCCAAAGGCAGTTAATTCAACAGTGCACTGGCTATCTCCCTAGACTCCCTGTCCCCTTGTTCTCCCTCACTCCACTAAGGTGGCACATAAATCCACGCTGTAGAATCTTGGCCAGGATCTCCTACAAGTCCTGCAATATTTGTTTTCATCTCTTACTAATCCACAGCATGATCCCCAAAGCAGCTGCTGTAACAAAGTAACCTAGACTGGGTAATTTATAAACAATAAAAATGTATTGCACCCAGTTCTGGAAGCTGGAAGTCCAAGATCAAGGTGCTGGTAGACATAAAGTGTCTGGTGAGGGCCTCTCCTCATAGACAGTGTCTTCTTGCTGTATCTTTCCATGGTGGAAAGCATGCTCCTTTCAGCCTCTTTTATAATGGCATTACTCCCATTCATGAGGGAAGAGCCCTCATGACTTAATCACTTCCCAAATGGCCCCACCTCTTAATACTATCGCATTGGAGATTAAGTTTTAACATATGAACTATGGAGGGACACAAATATTCAGACCATTGCAGCAGCTTGTACAAACCTTATTTTACTTTCCTTATCCCCCAAACATTCAATCTCTTTCCAGTCACCACCTCACTGAGATCACTGCTAGAGAGAACAACTTTAACCTCAGCTCTCCTGGATATTAAAGAAATGTTGTACTTTTTTTTTTTTTTTTTTTTGAGACAGAGTCTCGCTTTTGCTGCCCGGGCTAGAGTGAGTGCCGTGGCGTCATCCTAGCTCACAGCAACCTCAGACTCCTGGGCTCAAGCAATCCTTCTGCCTCAGCCTCCCAAGTAGCTGGGACTACAGGCATGCGCCACCATGCCCAGCTAATTTTTTCTATATATTTTTAGTTGTCCGATTAATTTCTTTCTATTTTTAGTAGAGACGGGGTCTCGCTCTTGCTCAGGCTGGTTTCAAACTCCTGAGCTCAAACAATCCACCCGCCTCGGCCTCCCAGAGAGCTAGGATTACAGGCCTGTGCCACCGCGCCTGGCCAGAAATTTTGTACTTTTATTGCTCTTTTTTCCTCTACTTGTAAGAGCTTTTCTTGTTTCCTTGTTTCTCATCCCTTTATGGACCTTACTGAATCAACTTTACCTTTCTACACTAACAGCTTCAACTTCTCCTTCTCCACTGGTCCCTTCCTGTCCTCAAGGATTCTCAGGACTCCCTGACTCCACCTCCCTTCACCATGACAAGACCAAAGCTATGCTACTTATCTTTATTCCATCTGATGCTAAACCTCTCAGAAGAGAAGGTACTAAACCCTGCCCTCATTTCCCACTTCTTATCATCATTATGCCAATAATTCAAGGACAGTCTCAAACCACCACCCCCTGATATCATAATATAGCTGAGGTCTCTCTTTTTTCAGATGCAACAAAAAACTTTGTAAGTCTGTTATATTTCTTTCATTGTGTTTATTTATATATATATTATTATATATTTATCCTTGATGGCCTTTTTAAATCACCATAAAATTCACAGGTAAAAACCGGTATTGAATGTTTATTGTTTTTTTTAATTACTAGTGTAGCTTAGTATCTTTTTCTATGTTTATCGGTCATTTGTAACTCTTTCTGGAAGATTGCATGTTCATCGGTTCATTTTTCTATTGTTACATTTGTTCTCTTTATTATTTCATAAGAGGTCTTTATATATCAAGATAGTACCTTCTGTTATATATATTGAGAATGGTTTTCCCAATCTAGAATACTGTGCCATTAATCATTTAGACAGTGTTCCTATTTGTTTTCACCAAAGGAATTTTAAATTCTTATGGAGTCAGATCTTTCAATCTTTTTATTTAGTTTCTGCTTTTGATAATATGCTTATAATAGCCTTCTTCGCATACATTTATTTAACTATTAATGAAAAATTTCTTCTAATGGTATCATGGGTTTAGAAAATAATACCTCTAAATCTGGTATTACTTCTGTTAGGCCATAGATTAAAAAAAAGATAGATGAAAATTTGTTTTCTATATAATCACCCAACTATGCCTGCACCATTTATTTAACAGTCTGTCCTTCCCCTCGTCACTTGCAATTATATATTATATTCTGATGTATAGTAGAGCCTGTTATGTGCTTTTCTATTTTATTCTACTGCTAATGACAAATATTTTTCCACTTTATAAGTCATAAGATATAGTATACACACACTCTTATTCTTCACAACCACTCTATGAAGTAAGTACTATTATTATCTTTATCCCATGGACGAGGAAACAGGCGTGCGGGCATCCCATGTTGGTACTGCTGGTAATGACAGCCTAATAGTAATGACCAGTAGTAGTCTATTAATCTGTCTATCCTGAAAAAACAAACCTCCCTGTTTTAATTACCATAGTTTTCTAATATGGTAATTTAGATTACCAAATTAGAAATTTCTAATTTAATATTTTAATATTTAGTACTGTTAGTCATGCTTTATTCTTCTTTCTAAGTATTTGCTTAGCCGTCATAGTAGTTTAAGAGCACAGGCTCCTGATTCAGAGCTCCTCGGATGAAATCTTGTCCTCATTACATGGTCTGTATCTTTAATTCCTCTGTGCCTCTGTTTTCCCATCAGAAAAATGACAATACTAATGGCCTGTTGTCATAGGGTTGTTATCAGGATGAAATGAAGTGATAAACATAAGTGCTCAATGCAATGACTGGAACATAAATATTCTATAATCGCTGGATATTTTTCACTATTTAATAGTAACAACAGAAGACATAGTAAAATAATATCCTCAAAGGCTTAAGAGAAAATAACTGTCATCCTAGATAGTATATCCAGCAAAGCTATTCTTCAAGAGTAAGGTTAAAACAAAGACATCTTTAGATAAATAAAAACCAAAAAGACCTTTACTAAAGGAACTTCTAAAAGGTGTATTTCAGAAATAAAGAAAATAATCTCAGTAAGAAACAAAATAATTCCAGTAAAAAAAAAAAATCTGTGATATAATAAAAGGATAAAATCTAGAAAAATACAAGCAATTTTATCCATATAAAATAGCGATGATAGATAAGGCTACTTCAGCATGACAGAGTGAGGAGGCTGGCATATTCATTTCCCAAACAGCAATACTGCAGAACAAAATCTTCAAAACAACCATTTCAGTGTTCTGCAAACCAACTAAAGGCAAAAAGAAGCAACAATTTAAAAGTAAAATAGGGGATGGGGAGTCAATTCTTGAAAGGAACATAAAGTTTTTCTACTCTTTATATATATAAAGCCATTCTTCATCTTCCAAGGAAACTCTTCAGCTAGCTTTATTAATAATAAAAAAATGTTAGTAAGAACTGGTAAAAGCATTTCTATGGTTGTAAGTTATTATATTACTGTTTTTATAACCTTAGCAAAAAAGCAAATGTCATGGTAGCAACTAACTACCCCAAACACAAATATCAGTCAATAATTATCTGCTTGTAATGGCTCCTCTCCATTTCTCCGGTTTCTAGGCAGGCCTTTAGGAAGGAAAGACAGTATGCCTTTAGAGAGTGCTCTCATATGGTTTGCTCCTGATGTGCCACATACTGGTGGTCGAGCAGCATTAGATGATCTGTCATTATGTTCAGAAGGAGCAGATCAGAACCTTGTGGTCTCCGTATGTGAGGAGGAATCAGAGCCTTCTCAATTCTATTCCCGGATCTACTACTTACTTGGTTCTGTGGTTTTGGGCTTGTTACAACTTCTCCGTGGTTAAAACGAAATCCCCACAATATGGTTTGCCTTCAGTGTTTAGGACACATTGTGATCAGGCTATAAATTTATAATGTTTCCTAAGTGAAATCTGGGAATAGGCATAGGTAGTAAAATAGCGTACAGGATACTTCATCATTTACCGAAGTTTATTTTAGAATTATCCCCTGGATATTGCACATCAGTTTTAATTTCAAGACTTTTCTCTACCTGGTAGTTAACTCTGATTTGACTCCTAAAGATTTAGAGAAAGGCATTCTGAATTCATTTTGTGATACAAGCATCTTGCATCATGTAATAAAAGAAAGCCACGCAAGGGATCTTGTTCCAGTTTGAACCAGCTTTGTTACTATGAAATTATAAGTAGTGGAACACTCAGAAGTTAGCCAATTCCATTCTACATAACTATGAAAAGAACGTACTATTTTATGATCAAAATATCACATAAAATAGTGGGTGTAAATGGTTATAAAATTTAACAGAAATCCCACCCATAAAATTAACATGTAAAAACTCCAAGATGTCACTCTTTTGGCATCACTAAATCTTACCCAAAAAACCCTATTATAGTGACTAATTACTACATCTAGCACTTACTAAGTGTCAAGGACTATGCTCCATATTTTATAGGGATTGTCTCATTTAATTCTGTCAGCAACACA